TTTATTTAAGAAAAAGTTATGGAAGGAGTTTTTCGAAACAACAGTTCCTGACCGGCTTGGGAAACATGAAGCTCTCCTCAAAAGCCGAGATGGAGGCAAGGGCTACTTTTTTGGAGACAAGGTAAACATACAGGATAAAACAACAACAGCAACAACAAACTTTTTTTGCATAACTGTAAACTTTTAAGTATTTCAAAAGCGTGCACAGCATACTGAAAAAAAAGAAAAAAAAAGGCATGGAAACAATTTTAAAATTGCATTAATAACACTTTGTACCAGGGATCGTTAAAATTAAAACAAGTTGATATAAAATGAAATAGAAAGTCGAACATCCATTACGTGCGACCACCTGGTTTAAGTGGCCACTCCCATAAGCGACCACCTATCCAAAATGTTAAAATTTTCCCAGTCAAAGCCTTACAGTTGGAAGCCCTCGTAAAACGACCTCCTCAGTTCCTTTAAGCGACCGCGACCACTTTTCAGGGCTTACGGTTTAGTAATTACCTATTCTTTCTAGCCTCCTGCAAGCGACCACTTTGACGCATGGTCTGATATATGTTCGCCGTATGTACTATGCCACTTAGAGTAGTTATAAGTCAGAAGAATTCGTTTTAGCTACAATGCAACATGGAATTAAAAATATTGCAACTTAAAAATCAGTAAGTAATTTGTTTTTCCCTGTATCTTTTTTCTTCCAGCTCACCTATGCCGACATTGCGTTCGTTGAATTCTTTCAAAGCCTAAAGGTGAACGTAGATATCCAGAGAGAGAAAGAAAAAAAAGAACATTTACCGGATATCGAGGAGATATTGAAGAAGTTCTCTCTGTTGTATGAGTATTACAAGCGTGTGTTAGCCGTGGAAGAAATTAAAACCTGTATTGAGAAACGCCCCCAATCCGACTTCTAAGCTTCCTATCGACATGATATTTGTCTTTGGTAACATAGGCAAAACTGTAGTATACAAATAAAGTCAGTATATATTCCTTGATCGGCTGTTTACTGTTTGTTATGATGTATGCCCCATTTGTTCAAAAGGTGGATAACGCTATCCACTGGATAAATCTCTATCCAGTACCGCAAAGTGCAATTGCAATTGGATTCTCTTACAATTATCCGCTGGACAGTCTGTTATCCGGTGGATATAGCGCTATCCAACGTTTGAATAACCGGGGCAGGCCTGTAGCCAGGTTTTTTTACGTGGAGGTGCGATCCAACGAGGAAACGGACCAAATGAAGCTGAAGGGTCAAGTCTCATGAGAAGCTATTTCGTCCTCACTTGGGCTCAGACGCCCCTCACTGAGCAGGGGTACGGGTTCAACACGGCCTTTGCTCGTATACAGGCACCTGACTGCTGTACGTTGCGGATTCCGCGCCCTGACTGACGGCGAAACATCTGTCAGTAGAGAGATTTGGAGTGGCATTTACGGCAAACGTCAGATTCAAGTTGATTATTTCTTAAAATAGAAAACGTGCAGCTGAAACAGTCCAAAACAAGTGTTATAGAGAAAACTAACGTGAAGCTACTAATTTTAGGGTAGAAGTAATGAACAGTAAAGCACAAGTTAAGGAAAAACTTGGTCAGGTGGTACAAAATTCACGTTTGCCGTTTGCCGTTTGCCGTTTGCCGTTTGCCGTTTGCCGTAAACGTGACTCTTAATCTCTCTAATGACTGTCACTGCCTGGGTGAAATGGCTGTGCGCATGGGTAATGTTGTGATGGTGGGTTGTTTTCTAAAGGCTGGTTTCCACCAGCGACCGGGTCGGAGTCGTAATCGGAAGCGGAGTACTTAACGATCTACTAGTGAAAACAGCGTTCGGATTCCGCTTACGACTCCGTCGTTACGATCAAGTGAAAACTGGGTCGTCGGAGTCGCAAGTAGAAGCGGAAGAACTCAACTTAACCAATTACCTAAGTGTGGGAACGTGCATTGTGATTGGTTTATCCTTCCCCTTCCGGTTTTCACTAGATCGTAACGACGGAGTCATAAGCGGAGTCGGAAGAAAATGAAAACGTTCTTACTCTTCTGACTCCGACTCCGTCACCCTTATGACTCCGCTTACGATCCCGAATTTTCAATAGGTCATAAGCGCTCTTACGACTCCGCTTACGACTCCGACTCCGTAGCTAGTGAAGCCAGCCTTAAGTGTGTCAGCGTGCCCGGCTTTCCCGAGTGTGGCCACTTTTGTGTAGTTTTCAAACATATTATTTATCTTGGTTCAAGGCGGGGCTAGAGAAGGAGTTTTACGAAACTACTCTTCCTGCGAGACTTGAGAAATTTGAAGCTCTGCTAAAAAGCCGAGACGAAGGCAAGGGATTCTTTCTTGGCAACAAGGTACGTGCGCGATGCACCGAATGAATAAATCATACATAGACTATATATTTCGAGTAATAACAATTTGCAGTCTATCTTCTTTGAATCATTAAAGAAAGCGAGTTAAGCACTATGAGAGAGCTTAAGCAACACGACGGGGACAGCAGCTATGAAGTCATTTTTACGTGCATTAAGTTCTTTCATACTTTGTCGTGATAAGTCCAACTCTCTGAATTTGCCAAATGCTATAGATTTTATGTATCTCAACAAGTCTCGTCCAAGGTTATAGCTTAACGCTTTCTTTGTCTAGCCTAACTTGAAACCCGGCTGAGAAAAAAAGTCGTGCAAATTAAAGAAGGTCTTTATACTTAGCGAATGTTTATTTATTTATTTTTATTTTCCCTACAGCTGACCTATGCCGACCTTTCGTTCTTTGACTTCTTTAATGGTTACAGTGCTGGTGGCCAACCAACGATTCCCAAGGAACTTCAGAAGTTTCCGCTGTTGGCGGAGCATTACAACCGTGTGCTCAATGTGCCTGAAATAAAGACCTGGATAGCAAAACGCCCCGCAAGCTTTTTCTGAGCCTGCGATGAAATGAAACTATATGACATTTGTTGGCATACCGTAAACAGCCGCCCCTTCTCCGATTTTTTTCTTCTCGAGATTTTTTTCCAAGTTAAGTGATGTCTATCTACCTTGTAACTCTTTGATAATGACTAAAAGAGGATAAAATTCGCGAAAATTGCGTCAAACCACCCCCACATTCATAGTCTGCAAATTGCCTTACAAAGGCAATCCTGGAAGAATTTTATCTCTTATTTGTTTTGTTCCAAGAATCTGAAAAAGCTACTGGTCGCAACGTAATTCCCCTAAATACACCTACCACAAAGGTGTCATAGTTTTGTGTCCATTCGACTCGTCAGATATGTTCCCCTTCATCCATAGTAATTTTTACATACAAAACATTAATAAATATATACTCTGTATACTCTGCAGCGTATTGAAAAGGCTGGCGTTTTTTTTAATTTTTAACGCTTTTGTATAGTTATTTAATTACCCCTTTAAGAGTTGGTAACACTTCATAAAGTAACCATTGAAGTCTTGGAGAGATCTAAAGGTAAATGTTCAGGGTTTTATGGCTCTATAACGGTAAGAATCAGAAATAGTTATCGGAATACAAATTACCCGCCATGGATAGAAAATTCCTCTAATTGTCTTTTCTGCGTGCGCAAACCTGCGTTTAGTGGGCGATTAAAGACGTTATATCATTTTTATACTCTATCTAGTGACTTCCTTATACAGTGCCTTCCTTTTATTTTTTTCCTTAAAAAATATCACTGACTGTAAAGCTTATTTTGACATTTTTCAGCAGCTGCTTCAGTTCTTTGTTGAAAGTAAATGTTACATTTTTGTTGACGTCATCGTCAACTGCGTTGCTTCAAAATCAAGATGGCTGCCACTAAGTTCAAAATGGTCAACCTCGTTTCCAGAGAGAGCGAACCCTGAAAACTAGGTTGCAATGTGGTGAATTTATGACGTCATGTGACAACACACTATTCTCAGAGGGTCTCAATGGGGTTAACCGATAGGCGTAAAACGGCCAAACATTTAGTCGATAGCCGTAAAAACTGAAAAATTTTAACCGTTAGCCGTAAATAGGGTAAAAAAGAGTTAACCGTAAAAGAAATTGTTCCCTAGATTTGCTACTTTTAAGCAAGGTACCAAGCTCACTCATGGTTGCGTTTTTTATTTCCCGGCTAGTGTGACTCCGTACGCACGTTAGGCGAAGCGCCTTTTGAGTGTTAACGGTGTTAACCAAGACCTAGTCTCCATTTCCGGCGCTCTCTCGAGAAACTAATTTTTTCTATAGCGAAAGTGTGGCTTCTTGCTGCGGATTAATATTTGCAATTTTCGGGAGGTCGTGTCCTCGAAACACCAGTGAAACAACACGCAGAGATGTCACTGTTTGTAAGACACGCTGCCGATAAACAACATTTCCCTGTTTTTCTCTGACACTACGGTAGACATTATGCCTAGTCCTTGTACGGCGTCTTCCCACGCAATCTCGGTCAAGGCATTTCGGTGGCGAACTCGCTCGGACCACGTGACTCGAAACGCATTAGCCGCGCGGAATAATGCGGCCCTACGGACAAAGCAACGGCAGGCAGTCGTTCCGTACAGTCGTTCGCCATCATTAAAAACACTGGGCACGGGAATTTTGTTATTGACCGTTTTCACACTAGAGCTGGAAATGGATCATCCGTCTGAGACTAGGCTGAGTACAGTCGCAACCTCCCCACAGAAACCCCTTCTCTGATTTTTCTGAGGGGAGGGGGCGGCTGTACACAGGCTATCTGGAACTGATAATCCCTTCTTCAAAAGTCAAGCGGATTGTTCATTCAAAATTAAAACTATTCCATTTTCAAATTAAGACGTATTACCTATCTGACACGAATCATCGCGCGAATAACCCGTCTTACACGAACAAACCTTCTCTAGTGTGAAAGCGGCCATTTCTGAATGTCGCGCCCCGGCCTTGAGTTGGGCGTTCGCGTGTCTGCTTTTGCTTTTTCACAAAGATTATTTTTAAATTGACTATTGACATTTCTATGTGTGAAATAAGGAATAGTCTATAAAAATGTATGATCTATCGAATGTTAAAATGTTTCAAATTTCATCCCGAGATGATCCGAAGACCTTTATTTCCATTTACAGATACAAAAAAAATACAGGTTAATTAATATTTAACTTTTTGAAACAAAAGAAGTTAATTTTAACTTTTTCGTTAACCGTAACTGAAAAAAATTAACCGATAGCCGTAAAAGAGCCAAAATTTTAGCCGATAACCGTAAAAGCCACCACCCCATTGAGACCCTCTTCTCATTATTAGGAGGCTGTATTGTACCGTTCACCCAAAATTCTTAGCAATTAAACTTAAACTCCACCGTCTTATCGCAATGAAACTATATTACTTAAAACCGGAAAAAATTATATTTGTCCGCGCTTTGATTAATATCCGACGTAGACGTTCTCTTGGCTCATCACGCAATCCTCCCCAACGACCTCTCCGCCTCCCCAAGAACGTCTGCGGGGGAGGCTAAGCTTTGACGAAACTCGTTACCTTCTGTTATAATGGTACATGATTTGTTTCATCTCACAAGTGATTAATAGTTGTGAATCAGCTTTTCTGTTTACTGACTCATTGCTAGTTAGCCTTTTCATTCTATATTAAGAAGCCTTTAGTGTGCTAAATAAAACCTGAGCTACCGTTATGGGAGTGTCTGGGTGATAAGTTTGTTTTTGAGTGCATGGTAGTGTGAACTTGATTGGTATTGCTGACAAGTGAATTAATATTCCTCTAGTCTGGAAAAGTTATCGCTTCCCCTAGCCTGAGCATACCGAAGGAGTTGGGAGATTGCGGGTGGAGGAGGGGAAGGGTGG